AATTTCAGATACTGGTCGTGACAATGTGTTGTTTCTAAAAAAGTAGGTAAAAAAGCTTTTTATTCTTTTTTGTGATTAAATGTTTACAAAGGAGATAACAACTATACAAATATGATGAACAGAAGCATATTCAGTTAATTGTATTGATATGATTTCTTTCATCTATACCAAATTCAATATCAGTATTTGCTGCTTTATTCCAATCTTTTTTGAATACTTGCCACCATTATAGAAAGCTACAGTTTGTGCAATACCAAGTTAACTTGATATTAAAATCTTTTATCAGCTGTTCACAATGATTTGCGTAAGTCTATCAAGGTATAGATGATTATAATTATACTTATAATTATATTTTAGCACTCACTAATAACTTTCAGTAATCATTGTGATTCTAGCCAAAGGTATTGCTAATAAATATGTTAAACAAATAAACAGTTTCCAGTTGTCCCTTTTATACCAGTTCATCCATAAGTGCTTCACAATCTTGGAAGATCGTTATTACAACAATACTAATATATTTCTTGTATATAATAATAATAAATTTGTGCAGAGTTCAGAAGGTATTTTTTGCTATTAAGATTAGTGGATGCATCATTGTATGTTGTTTGATGATATCTATAATTTCACGAATCTTATTATCTGAGTACAAATTTCCAGTATTACTACTTAGAATCCATGACAGCTTGATAAAATTGAATTAACTATGGGCTTTTGCCACTTTATTTTTTGAATAATCAGATGCTTTTGATTTTTATCTGTTAGATATCTATTGATAGCTTGTTCTAGATGCCAGTAGTAAAGTTGTAAGTTTGTAATCCCTGACCAAGCTTCCTCGATAGCTGATATTTCCCCTGTGTCTTTGTCTACTAAAGCGAATATTGAAAGTACTCTTTCATTCTGAAGGCTTATGAAAAATTCACTCAAGACCTGTTTTCAAGTATTAATTTGCTTCCTAGGATTATTATATGCTTCTGCTGTACTGTTGCATATTAGAAGATATAGATATGCTATTGGAATTCCATACTCTCCACAGTTCGTAATTACAACAAAAAGTTCAAAATGCTCTTGATTCATTTTGAACATAGAATCTACAATGATCTCTTTGGAGTTTGTGGCACTAATACAATTAAATAGAGATGTTGTAAAACCCAAGAGCCTTTACAAAGTCATTCTTCAAGTAATAAAGAATTTTAAACCAATCTTTATTTTCAAGATATTCCTTTGCCAACAAGAGCTAATTGTTTAAATTGGTTACGGTACGATTTCCTGAAAGCTATCTTCCTGACATGTCACCTACCCGATATCATGCAGGTGACAATTTGCTAAAAATATATATCTACAACTAACAAAATGCTAACTCTAACTATATGTAATGTTGGGTAAATAGTTTTTTGGGAAGGTGAGTTTCGGGAAAGTGAAAATCAATGATTTGGATTAAACATATATGTATGTTGTCTAAAAAATAATACCCAGTAATATACTTGCTCTTTGGTATGTACTTTCGTGTTAATAAGATCTTGATGATAAAGTCGCCTATACAATTCAGAATTTTGTATATTGTATCTAATATTATTTTGAATCCACAGTTTTGCTGCTATAGAAATTCAGCCTTTCTATACTCTGGATACTCATGTGCTAGTTGATAAGTTACTTGAACAATAATACGTTGTTGCTGAGGATCAATAGTTAGTTTGATTTTTTCAAAGCAGTCATATCACTTAATGGAAGCACAAGCTTCACTTTTTCATTTTACAGACTGATTCTCAGGTCTTTCTGATTTTCTATCATTTCATTGTATACATTCAAGGTATGCCATTACACAACCAGTAAATTTATTCTTTCTTGTATTAGGATACACTTTAGGTACATTCCAGTAGTAGCTGAACCCATATTCTAATGGTATAACAACAACACTTATTAGTTAATGAATGTTTTCTTTAAGAGTTCTGAAATCATGTGCATCTAAATCTAACAAGAATTCTGAAAAAATGCTTTCAAGAAGATGTGAATTGATTTCAATTTCGAAATTTGTTTTCACCAGCTCATTTGAGTTTTTTGCATCTTGAAATTGCTTTGAAATTAACTCTTCTACCTCATCTAAATTATATAGAAGCCTATTAATATTACTGAATTTGATATTATCTATATCTTGGGCACTTTGCACATTATTGTCACACAAAAACCTGATGCCGAATCTTCAGAAGCATTACTATCTTGTTCAAGATCCATATATAAATCAGTTTGACTAGAATTTACGGCTGTAATTGAACCTGTAATCACAGTTGGATTAGTTTTAAGTTGTTTAAGATCTATATATAAATCAGTTTGATTAGAATTTACAGCTGTAATTGAACCTGTAATCACAGTTAGATTAGTTTCAAGTTGTTTTCTTTTGCTAGAGATTACATCTACTTCTTTTTGCCTATTTTTGCATTGTTCATAACATTTATTACTGGTTGAATATTTATATTGCGGATCGTTCTTTCGTGGACAGCAAAAGTCCTCAATTTTAATTATGCTATTACAGTGACTGTATTCTTTTTTACCTTTGTCTTGGCTTTCTCTATTCATTTTGGGGTTGTATTGTTATTTGATTTATATTAGAAAGAAAAAAAGTACTTTGAGTATATGCTTATATTATATTTATTTTTTATTTAATAGATCTAGAGTTTATATAAAGAATCAAATTTTATTAAACTTCATTGAAGGTCAATAGAAAGGGTTTAAATATGTTTCGTGTGAATACTTGCACTAATCTTACATTTTTATTTCGCGTTGTAATTAAACTTAATTAAAATAAAAGACAAAAAAATCAAATGACACTGCGAGAATTCAATGGCTAGATAAAAAAAAAAAAAACTAAACAAATGACAACTTTGAGTCATATTTTGCGTTGTAATTAATCTTAATTAAAATAAAAGACAAAAAAAAACAACTGTCACTGTAAGAATTCAATGATTAGATAATGAAAAAAAAAACTAATTAAATGACAAACTTCAAGTCATATTTCACATTGAAATCTAATTTACTTAATTAAAATAAAAGACAAAAAAAGCAAACAACATTGTGAGAATTCAATGGTTAGATGACAAAAAAAAAAACCAATTGAACAACAACTTCAAGTCATATTTTTGCATTTTATTAAATAGCAAAACTAAATGCAATACAGTAATTTATATAATCTTTTGAAATGCAAGAATAACCTAATCAAGCGATAACTACTTCGAATTCTTGTAAAATATAACATACATTAGTAATTATTTATTTAATTAGTATGCATAAAATGAAAGTGCTAAATTCGATTTTTTATTTAATTTATTTAATAATTAATAAATTGTACATAGAAGTGCTAAATTAGAAAAATTTTTGTAACTCAATTATTAAATGCTAAACTCTTATAAATAATTATTGTCAATGCAGAAAAATTTAGATAAAATCATTAATTAATGATAATATTAATATATTAATTAATGTTGCGGCTGAAGCTGGAAACGGCTGAAGCTGGAAATTTTAAATATTTTATTATGAAATTTTCAAA